TGAGGATGAGAATTCGTTACTCCATCGGTTTGGACGGGAGCACTTGTTGCATTCACATTGGACATTGTCAATGGAGGAAGAATAAGGCTAGCGGGAAAGGAGAATAAAGGAGGAAAAGAAACACTGCTGATTACAGATCAACACTAAAGGCCAGAAAAACACAAAAAAAAAACTGGCAATGAAGGCCAGAAAAGCAGGGGAAAGATTTGGCAATGAAGGCCGGAGAAAAAAAATCTCAAGGTTGGCAAACCTAGAGCTCTGATACCATGTTTTGAAATGGTAAAAAACTGATCTTATCATTCCATTGCCAACCGGCGTATTTATACAGTAAGCTGCTGCAATAAATAGAAAACATCTTCCTAAATCAATCCCTATAATTAAGGGACTATTTTAATCCCCATATTTAAGGGATTATACTCTTCCACAATCCTAGGAATACATATTYACACATTCCTATTTTTACACAACTACCAAATATAGATGCTAACTACCAAATATGCATCTACACCAATAACCCCATGTTTTCCAACAAGTAGGATGCACTCAACTACATCTTGTTTCTTTTAGAAGAATGTTATAAGTTTATATAACCTGATTACTTAATAATACATAAAAAGAGTTGATTTGCACCTCTTTCGCATTCAGGAGTAGGGGAGGACCCTTTCACTTGGGTACAATCTAAACCACATTCAAGAGGACCTCTAAAATGATTTCACATTCAAGAGGACCAAACAATTTATAGTATGCCTTTAGAAGTGGCTATTCCCTGAAAATGCTCACCTGTAGGTTTGTTTGTTGTTGGGGGCTTGGGGCTAACTTCCCTTGCACAATACTAGGTTATCAGTAATGCAGTCAGTAAATCAGCAGGCAGGGGGAAGACGTAGGGCTCACATAAGTACAAGACTTTGTACCTTTCTGAAGTCTGGAGGGGGGATAAAAGTGGGAATTGAATTCTACACCAACAAGCAAGGAAAACAACAGTGCAGTAATGCACACTACGGATTTTGCATGCTTCGGCACTAATTTGTTTGGGCCGTCGCAACAAGCTAGAAAATGAAAGTGTGACATTCAGCCGTTTTCTTGCTGCTTTGGTAAAGAAACCTGACACATCTTGCTGCCTTCACTTGTTCTCAAGAGTTTATCCGGCTTTCTTACTGCTTTGGCTTTGCAGCCAGAGCTTGCTTGTGGAATGTGCTGCCTCTTTACACTGCTCGATCTAGTGCTACTAGTGTGCCTTGCTTTGCTTTTGTTGCTCTGCCCTCCTAGTGAATTTAAGTGCTTTTCTCCATAGCTTTTGGTTTGGGGGACTCAAAGAGGGAGGTAATTTCATTCATCTTCAGTCCATGGAGAGGTTCATAAAGGTTGAGGTTCCAATTGATGCCCACTGATCCACAGAAAGAATGATAGTTTAGGATATCATTGCTGTTACCTTCAATCTTGAAGGTACTTGCATGGATACTATAAAGGTTCTCAGTTTCCTAGTTTTAACCAGTTTTGATGGTTCAGACTAGACAAATTGCTGGTCAAATCAGGAAGCCAAGAACCACCCAACCTCCCAATTGAACCTTTATGAAAATTCAAAAGGTACTTGCATGATTGGGAGATTGAATAGGTAACTGCCAAGGATGCCAAGGATGGTTCACTTTCCTATGTGTGAGGTTTGTGATGCCAAGATCTGGATATGGGAGAAGATGAGGATTTTCTTGGTTAAATCCTTTGTAAAGGCAGTCTAGTAATCTCTCCTGCCAAGGATGTGTCTAAATCCCCCGATCCTTCAAATGTAGCTTTTTTAAACTGGAATATGGTGTATGATAATTGCCTAAGGACAAATTATGTAAAAGAGGCATGGAGATCTTTTCACTGAGGTGTAATTTTTGTCATTATGAGGAGTGAGAAATTCACTTGTTTAGTCATTATCAGTCTGTATATCAAAGATTTGGGGCCATTTTCTGAGGTCTTTTAACCTCAATTGGTTTTTTCCTTGTTCCACCAATGACACATTATCTGAATGGTATATTAAAGGCCTAAACAGGAGGGATAACTTGGCTGTTTTCAGGGCTGTATGGAAGAAACGAAACAACCAAATATTTAAGAATTAGGAGTCACAGGTTGATGAGTTGATTAAGAAGGCTGTGGTATTTATTCTATCTTGTGTTTAGGCTTTGAAAGGTTCAGGGACATTCCTCCTCTTATCTTCTCTCTGGAATCGATGCTCTTATCCTATCTGCTTTTTTTTTGTCTCTTGCTTGGTTGGGTTTTTTCCTGATTTTGTAGTCTTTCATTGTATACGGATTTCCTTGGATCTTTTGTACATTAAATGGTTTAATATTTATCAACTCAATACCTTACTTTTATAAAAAAAACCTTACTTTATAGTTTTGGTTGAGTGACCTGGCTCCTTTGTTCTGATAGAGTATGACATTCTGCTATTGTTGGTACTTGTCTTGTAGTTTCTCAAATACATACATGTTGATAAAATTCTGCTGGTCGTCTATTCTGAAGGAGTTTAGTGGGATCTGGTGCTAGTATCTTTGTATACAGAAGATTTTCCTTTCTATAGTTTTCTATTTTGAATTGCACTTCTACCTGTAAAAATATAATATTAGCAGTTTTTTCATCTAGAGTAAAAGATTTTAAGAGGGGGAAGGTAAGTGATACTACTATAAAAACTTGAGGTAGGAGCATTATGATTCAAAAACCTTGTGGGGATTACAGGAAACCTTAAGTGAGCTTTCTGTAAACTTGCCTATTTAGAAAACAAAAAAATTGTGATCTTAAGAATGCTAGTTCTTCTTTATCTATCAGTGCTATCAGCATCTGAACGATTTACCTCCCTAATAGCAAATGTGTACTAGAAGTGTAATCTCCACTCAGGTTGTCCATGACAAGTGTTCTAATGGACATACATGAATGTGATTTAGTATAACGTTATACATTTAAACTATTGTTGGTACTTGGATTTCATTTCAGTGTTGATTTGAAAATTTGTGAAGATATAACTATGGTGATGATTTTCTAATTGCTGATTTTTCTTTTTCTTAGATTAACAAGTTGAACTATTTTATTGCTCTAGTTTTAGACCATGAAGTGCCCTTTACCTATTTTGACAGGCATGCCGTGGAAGTCATGCTTCTAAGCATGGGCTCAGTAAGATCTCAAAGCAAGCTGCTTTGGCTTTTGTGAGGCGAGTTCTTGCTAGATGCCATAAATTCGAGGATACAGGCATAAGTTGCTTTACTGAACCTTCACTACGGAATGCCTTGTTATCTGTACCTTCATATGGCAATAATGCAAAGTTTACTGACTCTGTTGGCTCTGGGACTGTTACAAATACATTTACTGAAGCTCAAAGCTGTCAACCAGAGCTTAGAGCATCAGGTATGCTAATTTAAGTTCTTATTTTTTATTATAAAAACTGTTTTTTTGACAAATAATGCTGTTCCAAGAAATTTTACTAAGTAATATTGAAAAAAGGATCCTTACCAGTAGGAGATAGAAACAGAGGACAAGTATAAGGCAATACAAAATAAATAGAGTTAATAGCTGACCAAGCCAAAAGAAGATGCAAGAATAATCAGTTAGGCAAACGAACCTATGGGCTATCAGCTATGGACGTGAAACCCTTAGAACTAGTTCCTTCTTGTTAAACCAATCCTAGAGCGCAAATCAGCTGCCCTAGGGGCCAAAGTGAATGAGCATTTCATTTGCGCAGCCAAAGCTTTTGCCTCTAAAAATGAGTCTAAGTGCCAAAGGGTCTCTCTCTGCTGTGGTCATCCTCCCAATGACCACTTGACAGTCACTCTTTATTACAAGTCTGATCCATCCAGATAAGAAGGCCTTATAGCCTTTGAAGGAGACTCAACATTTCTTCTCTCAAGTAGTTTCCTTCCCCAACTAGCCTTGAGAAGCTTTGATGGATATATCTATCATGATTTATGAATATGTCTCCTACATGCGAAGGTTCTGGATTTTCTAAAAAGCATTTGTCAAAACTAAAATTTATCACCCCATGCTTCTTCCAGTCCAGTTCTAATCCTCCTGCTACCCCCTTTTGAGCAAATACAGCAACTACTTGTGAGCCCCTCAAAATAGCATCCTTGGATAAACCTCTGAATTCTTCTTTACTGGAAATATATTGGGTTACCCTCACCACAATGAGATCAGTAATGGCTCTCACCTCCATTTTCTTATTATTGAAACTGGAAAAATGGCTCAAAGAATCAAGAGTCTGAACTTTGGAATCTCTTCTATATGGAAGGAGAAAGACATCTCTCAGGCAATGAAGGAGTTAGAGGACCTCATTATCTTCTAATAGACCTGTTCATGGGCTGGGCTTGGGCTTGGATTTTGCCAAAATTCTAATGTGGCCCAGCCTGACGCCTGAGCCGGAGACAGTGTAAAGTTGAGCCCGAAGCCCGGCCAGTGGACAGGTCTACTCTAAATATCTAAGGTTTCTTCTGAAACCAAGGTCCCAACTCCCAAGCAAGTCCGGGTGAGGTTTGAGCATTCAGAGAAGGTTTGGGCAAGGCAGAGAGGTCCATCACCCAACTGAATAGCCTTCTAAGAACACCTTATGGTTACCTTGAAAGCAGATCCCAGGTCCCATCCGTTCTGATGAAGATCATATTTGGTTTTGATGATAAGAGTGCCACAGAGAATGATCCTCAAGGACCTCAATAGAGAAGCACCAAATCCACTTGCTTAGGAGACCAAACACCCATTTATTAAGACTTGGAATAGCTGCTGTAACAGCTTTAGGTTTAGCGTGAAATCAGTCCAGAAAGATAGAGAGAAAGAGAAGAAGAAACAGAGGAAGAAGAGGAAATGGGAGAAAAGAGAGAGCAGAATGATTGTTTCTGCCACCCCCCATATTGCCATTTATATGTTTTAATAAAAAGAAGTTGCAAGGACCAAAAATACCCCTGTTGCCTATAAGAAAGAAAAAATAACATAACAGTGGCTTAACAACAGCTAAAACAATAAGATGAAGGTGGGACCACATATAAAAAAGCATATAAAACACAACTAAGGCTCCTTTGCTGTATCTCTACATTAAGCATATTAGAAAAAGGAGAACACAAGAGGCTACATCCCAGAGGTTGGGATGGCCAAGACAGAAATAGAATACATCAGAAATTTCCTTCCCTGCCCCAAATGAATTCTCTGTTTACATCTTATTTTTCCAATGCATTTACTAGCCCATTAGCTGACGTTGGGTCCAAGTTACAGTAATAATTCTGTTTCTCTTAAGTTCCTTTCTCTCCATTAAATTTTTATACTGCTGAGGAACCTTATCCTCATTCTGCAGCCATCTCGCTACCACATTGGAATCCACTTGAAGCAAATCCGTAGCATTCAGATCCTTAGCCACCTTAGCCCTTGCAACACTGCTAGTGCCTCGGCCTTATTGAATTCCCAAATTCTGTTGGTCCGGAGGATAGAGCAATAATGTTTAGTTGTTTACCTCATGATTTCTAAAGACTTCACCTATCCCTGACTGTTATGGATTGCCCTTGCTGCATCCATCAAGGTTAAGCTTAACCCATTAAGCTGATGGTGGCTTCCAGTGGATGATGACAGCATCTTTATGAACTGAGGAGTTAGCCAACCAATGACTTCCATGGATGATATCTTAATAAGTTGTTTCCCACAACCTTTCTCAATAAAAGAGATGATCCTTTTTGGAGTTTGGACCACCAGATTCCCAAAGGATCTCTCTCTATCTCTCTTTCTCTTTTATTTATTTATTTATTTATATTTTAATAACTTTCATGGGAGCATGAAACATTGAAAGAAAGTAGTTTGTTAATTAGAAAAAAAAGTGACCTTGGTGAGAATAGTTCTACCTGTTGGAGAAATTTAATTATTTTTTCCAAGTTGTCAGTTTTTTTTTTTTTTTAACCTTGCCATCATTTAGTCCCAAAATGTGAGAGCCTTGGGATTAGCTTGGAGAGGCAAATCCAGATATCTCAATGGCTATTGCAAAAACAATAACTTAAAATCAACACCCTCTTTCTCCACCTGACTTAAATTTATTCCAGCATAACACACTTAGAAAGGTTAATTATCAGCCTAAATACACTCAACCACACATGGAAGTTTTCGCATTTTTCATGGTATTCTCCCATCTAAGTTCACAAAAGATTATAGTCATAAGCAAATTATAAGTGAGACACTGCATTGACCTCCATTTCTCCTCTCTCGTCAGCCTTGCGAAAGAAGTCTGCTTAGGAGGACCTCTTATCACCAATATGAGCAACAGGGGAGAAAGAGAGTTTCCTTGTTAAGTCTTTTAGAGGACATAATAGTGGTATACAATCCACCATCCACCTAACCCATTTTGCTCCAAATTCCATTTTGATCAGAACCCATTTTATAGGAACCTCCAATCTACATGATCATATGCCTTTTCAAGGTTGAGCTTGCATACTTGCCCGGTTGCCCCTTCTTTCCTGTCATTCTAATATCTTTAATTGCTTCATAGGTAATCAAAATGTGGCCCAAAATTTGTTTCTCATGCATAAAAGCTCCCGGAGGAGGCTAGATGACAAAGTCTAGAACCTCTTCAAGCTTACAAGATAGGACTTTTGCAATATGTTATCAGCCCTGCAATGATGTAAGAAAGGAAGAAAAACAAGAGAAGAGAAGAAGAAGAGACAGTGAAATAGAAGAGAGCCATTGTGGGGCAGGTAGTGCCCACCTATCATTTTATTAGGTAATTTGTTTAAAGGTTCAAAGACAATAATATCCAACACAATGGCTTTAGACAAACTGATTATTAAATTGCTTAGCCTAAAATTTCTTTAGGAGTTTGAGCACCTGGTTTCTTGGGGAATGGGGATAAGTGTCACATTCATCCCTTTGTTCAATTAACCAGGAGGGACATAAATGTAGCATTCAAGTAATTCACAAATGTTTGTGAGAGGAACAAGTAATGATTTACAATGAACCTATTTCTTCTCTAGTTCATCACATTTTAATGCATGGCTTTCATCTGCATCCACAGGTGGCTTCTCCACTGCAGTTGAGCGGCATGGTCATCATAATGATAAGTTTGACAGAGGTTCGGATTCATTTCAAACTCCTATGCACCCATCTGACGAAGTTTATGGCAAACATGATCTTATATCAAACAGAGGGAAGAAGAAGGAAGTGCTACTTGATGATGTTGTTGGAACTGCAGCGTCAAGAGCCACGCCAGCTCTTGGGAACACTCTCTTGGGTGGAGTGAAGGGGAAAAGAAGTGAAAGAGACAGGGATCAGAATAGGGATACATTAACAAGAACTGTAGCAAAAGCTGGCCGTCCATCACTGCAGAGTTTTAGGGGTGAACGCAAAACAAAGACAAAACCCAAGCAGAAAACAGCTCAATTGTCTACTTCTGGAAATGGACTTCTTGGAAGGTTTACAGAAACGACACATCCTGTGTACCCTTCAGTACATGGTTCCAGAGAAAAAGTGACAAATGGTAGCAGTAAAATTAGTGGGGAAGTGGGGTTGCCTTCTGGTAATACTCAGGATTCATTTAAAGAGGCTGAAGGATCCATTGACTTTACAAACTTGCAATTGCATGAGTTAGACACCATAGAGGGACTCGGTGTGTCCAATGACCTTGGTGGCCCTCAAGATCTCAGTTCTTGGTTGAACTTTGATGAAGATGGTTTGCAAGACCATGATTCAATGGGGCTTGAAATACCAATGGATGACCTTTCAGAGTTAAATATGCTTATCTGAGGACAACAAACTGTACATCCTTGTGCCTTAAGAGTTACAGACAAAAGGCAAGAGCTGTTGTGGAGATGCAACTAACTACTTAGAATCTATCTTATGCAAACTGAAATGTGTAAATGGTAGTCCATTCTTTTGTATACTTCTTTCAAGAAGTTGTTGACAAGAGTCATGATTGTTTAGGTGATCCCCAGAACTTGCTCCTTGTACTAAGTCGATGTATTGTTTAAGAGCCTTCATCATTCATTTAATTTTCGTCTTGATATTTCAAGCTTCATTCACTTCTCCAAATGTTGTATCCTTAGCTGCATCTGGGATCTGAATGTGAATGCAAATTGTACATTGTTTTCATTTATCAAAGAATTTTGATGCCGTTATCTCTGGCAGCTTACTTTCAGATAATTTTATGAATATGAACATGATATGAAATGTGGTTCATTCGTGATACTGTTACTATGTTTATTATAATTAAAATGCAAAAATCAAGTGAAGTTCAGGGACCTACTTCATTGTTATAGTTTGCTGCAGCAATGATTTCAGTGGGTCCTGTGGATTGGTTCTTTCTCACAAGTTTTCTTTGGGTTATCCTTGAAGCTCATTCTAACTATAGAATTCTTGTGTTTGTGCTTCTCAAAATTTTGGTTTTGTGCCATATATTAATTTCTGTAAGAAAATTTCCTGCAGAATACTGTTGCTCTTTCCTCTATTTGATGACTAAAACTTAAATAATTGTAGGAAGTGAAAGGACACTTTCTCTGATAACGTGGCTTACTTAATTTGGAATGTATAAGTGAACTTGCCTTTGTGCTAGATATTTGTGAAGACTTTACTTGTTGGATGTGCACAGTTCAAGATGTTGTCTCTTTTCTTTGATGATATTTACTAAAACCATGATTGGCCATGATTGCACTACATGGATGCAATGTCCTTTCAATGGTTTTACTCAGTGAAGTCATTCTTGGGGGATCCATCAAGCCTGCTTCTGAGCTGGAACTTGTCTTCATATGGTATAAAAATTGTTTGAAACTTAACTTTTAGCTCGTAAATCTTAAGAAAGTTATTTTTAGTTACTGCAATCAGTTTTTCTATTTAATAATTACTTATGCTACAAATTTTGAGATGCTATTTTTACATTACTTTTCACTGCAAGATAAAATAGTGCCATCATTTGCTATTTTTGGTAAACAGTGCTATCATTTACTGGGTTTGAGAATTGGGACACTACGAATGTAATCAAGGTGTTTAACATTTATGGGGTTTGCATTTTATACTAAACCATGTTGATGTGTTCTTTTCTATATACATATATACATTTTCCAAAATTTTGAAGACTGCTATTGGATAGAGGTGGAAGAATGTATTCAGCTGCTGTCCAAATTACGAGAAGCAGAGATCAATGCAGACAAGCCTACTGAGAGATGGTGGAAAGAATGCAAAAATGGCAGGTTAACAGTGAAATCATTTTACAAGGTTTTGTCAAGAAATCGGGTTGAAAGGTTAGTGGCGAAGGGTGTTCGGGGCATTCCTATCCCTCCTAGAGTGGAAGCCTTTGCTTAGTTGGTGTCTGTTAAAATAATTTAGTTGTTGATGTTAGGGTCTGTTTGGCTAGTTAAAGTGTTTCTTTTATTTCGTTTTTTCCTTTCTGTTATGGCTGTTATT